CTCGATGACCTTTCAAGGTCCCTTCCAGTTCTAGGAGATGGGATATCCCCATTAAAAACAACAATAATAATAATAATGTGTTGGGGAGGAGAGGGGGGGCGTTAGCCAGGGGAATGCAGAAGTTGCAAGTTACTATATTTAAGTTCTTGGGTGACCCAGCCAATGGGCCTTGAATTGGGGGGACCTCTTTTACCTGAGAAGAGTCTAATCTCCATGGCGCAGTGGATCTTTTTCTCTGAGTGCCATTAAGAGTACCATTTATCGGCCCTTGTGATGTGGCCGCTCTTCACCTAGGAATTAGACACAGACCTGCTAACTCATTTCACATAAGCTACCAAGCAGCTTAAAGATGGTGATGATGTTTAGTCCCCTGGGGCTGACTTGAGCCATTGATGTAGAGGTGAGAGAGGAAGGATTACTGGTTAAATCACTGGACTGGGACTTGGGAGATTTGGGTTCAGTTCTGAGCTCTGCCACAGACCTTGAACAAGTCAGTTAATCTCTGTGCCTTATCCATAAAACAGGGAGGAGGATAACCGTTGTCTGTTTAGACTGTAAGCTCTTCAGGGACAGAGTTTCTCTCATGTGTATGTACAGTGCCTAGTACAATGGGGTTCCAATCTTGCTTGGGAATACTAGGTGCTACATAAAATGCAATAATTAGTAGTACAGAGACTCCATATTGAATCACTGAATCCACTGGGCCATTCACTAGCGTCCACTCTTCCCTGTTCTGAGTTTCATAGGAGAGAAAACACTGACCCCGAATGGACTAGAACAAGAGATGTGCACTGTTCTAATGCACAAAAAAAGCTGGTGTCTCTTGTCCTTTTTGCAGCAGCCAATATCTGCTTGAAGAGACATGAGCTTTGATAAAAGGCTGTGTTCCTGGTGTGCTTTGAAGTGGCAACTAGAGGTACTGCCAATCAGTGTCACAATAAAAATGAACAGCTTAATTTTTTTAATCTGGGGGGTGGCATACAGATTCTAAACATCGGTCGTCTTTGTTTCAAAAATTCACTACTCGGTCACTGAAACTAGTGTAGAGGCTTTTAGCTGTTTCTCTCTTTGAGGTATGAGCTTCCTTTGCAGCTCTGCAAAAAAGCTACTTTCTAATTCTTTAGAGCTTCTCCTAGACAAGAACTCATCTCCTCCTGCTGCCTTAGAAGGCCTTGCGGAGGAGCGCTTATCTTGCAGTGCAGCTCATTAAACAAAAGGAGTCCTGACCTGTGGATTTTGCTTCTGTTGGCTACCAACCAGAATGCAGTGTTTCCCAATACCACTTTACCGTCACTGTTAACACAACAAATAGTGACCATATGGCAAAAGCCCATCTGGGAATGTATTCCTTCCAGTTCTATATTAAGGAAGGGCATGCTGGTCCATGCTGTGTTAAAATGAACTTCCTGGCTGCAATGGGTGCCTAGCCTGAGTTTAAAGCAATCCTTGGCTGTCCCCATATACGCAGTTCACAAAAACTACCTATTATGTTAATCTCAAAGGATCTTGTTTGATCATATGGAGGTTTGCTTCAGCTTTGGCTATATTTTAGTTTGTCTTGATCACAAGAAGCCTCATCCCTGGTGCTATATTTCTCTGAGCCTGTGTGCTTAAGTTTGAAAGGTAACGGTGGATGTCTTAAACTTTAAAAGTTGTCTTAAACTTTACCATCCTTTTCACAGTCCTGCTAGGAGAAGATCAGTGAGAGAGAGTGACCCATCAACACAGAATATTGTGGAGAAATCCAAGGTGGAAAAGGAGAATCTTGAGGCAGCAGCATTAGAGCGGGAGGAGGCCCGTCGAGGAATCATACCGATGCCCATAAGGATTGCTATACTCGCTATCTTTGTTTTCATACTCTTTGTATATGTAACTATGGAGACCAACCCAGACAATCCATTCACAAACTTCATCACAGGAAGAGGATAGTAGTGCTGTCCTGACACCCAGCTAGGGAGCATTTAGGAGTGACTACAAAACAAAGCAAACGCCTTTTTCGCTCCCTACTTACATGTGAACAAGCTCTTGAGATCGTGAATTAAAAGGCCAACAGAGGAAAAAAATTATAGTCACTGAGTTTTCTTTGTCAAATATTCATTATATAGAGAGGCTCATAAGTCTTGGAGACCCAACTTGCTTCACAATTTATCACCTCACCTTGAGCGGGGGAGAAACAGACATGTATCTCATGATCAGATTCATCAGTTCATCCACTTGGAAGGGGTTTGCATTTTTCTAAACTACCAGTGGTTGATCATTGTCTTTCCACAAAATGAATGCTCTTCTATTGAACTGTTGCTCCCTTGTATTGGAGAAGCACTAGCTCGAGACCTAGAAAACAAATTGCACACCTCTGACAAGCCATGTAACAGCCATCATGGTACCACAGACAATGAGGAGCAAGTCTCAGGTTCCCCCTGGAGTGCCTTCTCATTTCTTAACTATGACAGGAAATTTGCTTTCTTCTGCACTCCTCCGATTCTGGATCGTATCAAAAGTGGATACTGTGGTTGTCAGCACATTTCTGAGGCAATGTGTTTCCTCCTGTTTTAAACTTGAATTGTCTTTTGTTTTTTTTTAAATACAGATAAGATCCTAAATCACTCAAGTTACGATGCTGTAAAAATTAAGATGCTTTAAAACAGTAAATGAAAATAATTTCTTTTTACCTGCCAGGACCAAGTTGAGGGCATTTAATGTCCACAGCTCTTGTAGGAAAAACACAGAACTCTGAACTTAGGGCTTGACCCTAACACATCACCAAAGCCTTATGAAATGTGTTTAATTTTAAGTCTACTCATGTAGTCAATTAATGGCATAAGATATTGAATGGTCTCTTCTAATTTTTAAAGGCATTTCATGTAGCCTAAGATATCAGCAAATAACTTTACGACTGTCTGATGCCCTCACCTAAAATCTTGGATAAAGTTTCAATGTGAGGTAATGGATTATCTCTTTCCTAAACGGATAACTAGTAACAAGGAGAAAGGGCTTGACTCCTACAATTGTTGTGTATAATTCCACTGCCTCAGAAAATTCTACCACTGTATTCTGAGTTGCATGTTCTAAAATGCTAGCTGCTTTGAAAAAAGCCATCTTTCAATATAGTAAATAAAAGGAAAGCTGGAAGGTGCTATTTTTGCATGGTTTTGTATTTACATGGAAACACTTAACTGTTTCAGATTGTTGTGTAAGTACCAAGTTATTTTAAGTGCAATTGCTACAATGTTAAATAAAGAGCCTTGTGATATGAAGTCAGTTTCCCGCCTCAAATCCACACCTTGTGATTTCAGCCTTTGACAGCAGGGGCACATAAGCAGCAATCTAGCTGTCACTCAGTTCCTGTCTCTAAATCTTGTGTTGTATTTTCCAGCTGAAATCGGTTGCTTAGGTCTGGTTATTTAGGATGGAGAATGGGAGATGTAGTTTGTACACCCTATTCTATAAGGGTTTTAAATCTTCCTCTGAAGCAGCTAGTATTCTGCTTTTTGGCATATCCGCCTCAATGGACCACTGTTCTGAGCTAGTACGGCAACTTTTGTGTTCCCAAAATCTGTCTTAGTTGTAAAATATATTGCCTCTGATAGAACTGGTTTGGCCTAAGCAACTAGCTTTAAATTTTGTCCTCTTACATTCAGAAAGTTTGGTGCTTTTTATGTGATGAAAAGAGCTAGGTATTATCGTCTCCCTTTTTCCTACAGATTCTGAGAAACTTTCTCTTGCCTCTACAGATACTTTCAAAACTTACCTTGGTTTTGAGATAAGTTCTGAATACGGGGTAATGCAGTACAGGGCTTGTCTACATGAACACTGAGTTTGTGGCAAACTGGGGTGTGAATCTAGCTCACACTAGGCTGCTGTGCACTGACTGTCCATGTGCACTTTTCTGATGCACACAAACAGTTTAATGCGCTTTAATCTACTCCTGTTTCAATCTGCACCCTATCTTACCGTGAACTCTGGTGTAGACAAGCCCACAAGTGCTTTGAAGAGAACCTGTCATTTTCCCAGCATCTAGATGTGATCTGAGACCACACCAACCTATGTGCTGGATTTACATGATAGTCTTCATGGAAATACAAAGGATGTTGCACTGGAGAGAGTTGTATGTTGAATGGGTAGTTCACATGAACATCAAATTTTGTTACTTTTGTCTGCAAGTTCTTTTAAAGCCTGTTCCTCTCCATTACCAGCAGATCAAATAAGTTTATAATGCGCTAGGAAGAAGCAATATTAACCAGACCTCCTGTCTCTTGGCATTAGCTGCCTAACACCATGGAACATGTTGTGGGGCCCGTCCGTGCGCTTCCCCCACTGGGTTAATGCAAAGAAGCTAGTGAATTTACTCTTGTCCATTATCTAGACCAGTGGTTTTCAACCTGCGGGCTGCTTGTGGCCCAATCAGCACACAGCTGTGGCCCATGTGACATCCTCCGGGCCATACAGCTAGTATATATATTGTGTGGATGCAGCCCACGTAACACACCAAGAGCTGCATATACAGCCCACAATGGTAAATAGGTTGAGAACCACTGCTCTGGACATTACGTGCTCCTTGCTTCTCCTGCTGCCATCTACTCATGAGAAAAATGTTAGCATGTAATGCCCTCTCCCTCACTAGGTGATATTTCTTGATCTAGGTCCTGCAAGGGCAAGTGTATATAGGTGGGTATTTTTTATTTCTTAATTTTCGGTTTGTTGGGCTACTATGTTCGGTGCTGTACATTCTAAGTGAAGATACCGCGGGTGGGGGTGGGGCTGAATTTGATTTATTTCAACAAATGCAGAAAACTGGCTTGCTGGATCTGCTGAAAATGCCTAGTATTCAGATTTTTCCCTAACCTATAGCTATATCTGCTTCCCTGTAATTGATTGACCTACTTTAAGAAAGCATGTAATGGATTGAAAGCTCAGTTAATCCTTGTCAATATTTTATTCTGTTTTTAAAAAAAAAAAAAAAAATTCCTTCTCACCTTGGAATGGAGCAAAACAAGCAGCTTCCTCAACTTCCAGAGAAGTTGTTTGTGCCAGCTGTTACCCATCTCCACTGAGCTAGACAAGGCAGCAGTTACCTTGCCAAAGTGATATAGGAAGCAATGCTTATATACACCAGGGAGCTAACTTAGCACGTATTGTGCTTTGTTCATTTTACAGAACAGATCAGCAAAACAAACACACGAACAAACATCATGAAGGTGTTGTAAGGCGTCGATAGAAAGTGAGCTGTGCGACACCAGGGTATCAGCTGTTGAAAAGTGATAGCTACAGGCAATATTCTTGGGCGTGGAAGGTAGCTTTAACACAGTCTGTAACTAATAGTGCGTGTGTTCTTGGCAATTCGCGTATATCCATGGTACAGGGCAAGAAAATGTTGGTGCCTTGCTGCATGGTTCCTGATGGGCACAGTAAGGCGAGGGGCATCAGAAATTACATCCGTACTAGCCAATGCTTATGGTAAAACATTGGTCTGAAGTTCAGGGATCATCCTATAGTGCAGCAGGGCACCTATTCAAGTTCAAATGCTGCTGCTTTCATTTTCAGCAGCACGCTGTGGACAAAATAAGGGAATTAGGGAAGTGATCCATGGAGAACAGAGACGGAAAAGACCTTATTAGCTTATGCTCCATCCTCCTTCCCTTTGTGGTCTTGTTCCCTGCAGTATACCATATTATTATTACAGTCAGACTTACAGCTTCCTTCAGACAGGGCTCCATTGTGCTACTGTACAGACAAAGAGTAAAAGACAACCCCTGCCCCAAAGAGTTGACATTATTTGACTAGATCCTCACTGACAACCTGTGTTTGTTAAATGCACCTAACTATCCAGCTGTAAAAACGTACTGGAGACCAGGCACTGCAGTTCTACTGTGAGATAAACTAGGCAAGGTCAGCCATGGGTGTGGGTATAGTGCTAACCTCACCTAGCTACCATGTGGCAAATGCTACATGTGCCTTGTCTTCTTTTAGGATTTTACAGCAAGATAAATATCACGTGTTATCCCGCTGTATTTCAAAACCCAAACCTTTCAATGAAGACAAAGTCTTAGGGCTTGTCTATACTTACGCGCTGGTTCGGCGGCAGGCAATCAAACTTCTGGGTTCGATTTATCTCGTCTTGTCTGGACGCGATCAATCGAACCCAGAAGTGCTCGCCATCGACTCCGGTAATCCTGCTCGGCGCGAGGAGTACGTGGAGTCGACGGGGGAGCCTGCCTGCCGCATCTGGACCGCGGTAAGTTCGAACGAAGGTACGTCGACTTCAGCTACGTTATTCACGTAGCTGAAGTTGCGTACCTTAGTTCGAATTGGGGGGTTAGTGTAGACCAGGCCTTAGATTGAGGCATGAATGGGAGGAGGGGACGTAACTGAATTTGGCATGGCTCTATAGTGCTTTGTCAGGCTTGTTATCAAGTAGTTGGACTTCCAATTCCCTTGAACGACAATCCTAGAGTCTATTAGATCTCTCCTGTGTGTGTTGGTTCTTCCATCATTCTTTACTTTTCACAAACTTTTTGGATTTCCGCATATGTATGTACTCATGAGGAATGCCTCGTGTCGTGTGCTCTTGAGACATGGCCTAGAACATATTGCAGTTGTAAGAAAGTTTATGCCGGGGTGCAGTTTTGTTGCTGAAATTAAGTGGCCAGTTTTTGGGGGGCAGGGAAGAGGGTTATGCTTCTTGTTACTACTTCTGCAGTAATCAAGGCTGCTCTTCCAACTCAGCATGGCCTCAAACTATGCCCTCCGTAGCCAGGGATCTTTACTGCCAGCCCATCTGCTGAAGGGTGATAATCATGATATGAAGTGCTGAGGCTGCTGCAGCGTATGCTGAGTAAGAGCAGAGAACCTCAAGCAGTTGCTCATCTTGCTTTGCTTAAGACAAGCCCCTTGAATGATTTCTACCTTATGAGATCCATAATAATGATATTGTGATCACAATGCACGTTGTACAGCCAATACTTGCATCTTGCACTGGTTTCGATAGGTGTGGAATGGCAGATAGGTAAAGCATTACCATGAATGGTACTTTATCCAGCACCACTGGAGTTAGTGGGAGCTTTATTCTGGGCTCCAGAAGGGCACAGGATGAAGCCCATGATGATGAATAAACCAGATTCCACTGTAGAGAGATCACAAGTGGGTTGTAGTTCATTAGTTAGCCAAATGAGCAAAGAGGAAAATAAACAGGGCTCTACATTCC